CGCATATAGACAGGTTTTTCCTGAGCGCACGGGCCCACGCCATATGTTCTCATTGTGATGATGGTGATGGCGAGAAGCGAAGGACGTCAAGTTCGAGTTTGGTCATGTTTGAGTCGAGGCACCCCAAACTTTGCTCTATACCGCCATTATCCACGCTATTTCATCTGTACATACTGTTTTTTTTCTCGTTCTCTTCTCTGCCTCTCTATTCTGTCAAATGAAGGTCCATGCCTCTATCAAAGGTCTTCTCACATCCAAGAAGGGACGCAAGCTCAAGTCAAACATCGATGACACGCGCGAGAATTCGTGCTCTCCTGCAGTCTTGGTACTCCTTCGTCGACCGCTCCTAGGCTTTCTATCGACCGAACGTCTCCCCCGGATGAACTGCTCCTTCCACCACCGTCTGTTGAACTGTCTGACGTGGACTGGGAGCTTCGGTCGCGTAGTCTGGAAAGGGAAAATGAGAAGCTAAGGAAGGAAGCCCCTGGTTAGAGAAGAAGAGTACAAGCGGTTACAGAGGTTGTACTCCGCCCTTTTGAAGAAGTCCCAATCGATGAGTCTCAATGGGAAAACCGAGCGCAAAGACAAGAAACAGGCGAGTTTTTTTATCTGTCATTTTCTTGTACGTGTTTTCTGAAAAGAGGTCGGCATACATAGGCATATTCTGCCACGAAGTTTTCCGTCTTTGAGGACAGACCTCGGTCGCGGCCAAGGATCAGCCGTGACACGTTTGTTTCTCGTATTCCAGTTCGCATTCAAGCTACTCCTTCGGCTTCGAGCGGTATTCCCTCGTCAAGAATTTCTCCTTTGCGTCTAAACAAGACGCATACTCTGGAAACGCCGTCGCTACTTATGTCGCCTGCCGTCATCCTCTGTTCCGCACAGAAGCCTGAACTTAGTTCACCGACGCCTGCTCCTCGTCCAGCCATTCGAAAGAAGAAATCTGGAGCTTCCTTGAAATCTGCGCCTAACAAGAACCGAATTCGCTCCGCTCCGCTTGCTACCCGTCGTATCAATTCAAATACCGTTTCTTCCTCGTTTTCTACTCCAGTTTCGCAGACTAAATACGCCGGGGTGCATAAGAATACGTGTAGGAAAGGAAAGGAAAACGGTAGACCGGATTGGACTTAGGGAAGGCAGCTTGGTTTGGCGTGTGGCCATCTGTTGAACTTTTTGCTTTGGTGTCGAAATAAGATACGTTCAGTTGAATGCATACCTGTCCATCCGTCCTAATCTTGGATTTCGGCTCGTCAAAGTGCGGCGTTTCTTCGTTTTGAGCACGGGCTTTGTGCGTGAACTTTCCACGAGCCTGAGATAATCTGTCTCGTAGAGGACAGGTGCATAGCCGGCTGGGGACATGTTAGCCTCCGTATCAAGATCACGAAGATTATCAGAAGGTTTGCAACGTGTCACATCAACAACTACCCGGCAGGTCATGCCAAGACGGATCCTGCAGCACCTTTGCTTAGCCTATGCAGTGCTTGCTGACTCGCCGCTACGGGACAAGACTGAACGGAATGGGAATACCATCCGGTTGGATAGTCGCGACCTTTTTATGGGTATGATGTCTGAGCTGCCCGATCATCCAGACCAGTACGGCCCATCTGAATTTGAACCAGGAACAGAATCCGGGCTCGTGCGTCCTTATTCTCCGTGTCTGAGCCTGAGAACAGTACCAGGTCCTGGGCATGCATCTTCCCTACCAGGTTACAACCTTGGGTACGCCTCGTCAACATCATCTTACTTTTACGATAGTGACTTGCTGGTAATGAAGTCAGACGCCAGGACTGGTGCAAGCCACTGCTACACGTACCCCATCCCATCTTCGTTTCATCTTCCAACATAGATCACAACAAGATTGACGGAAGTGGGGGTAGCGATGCGATCCGACTCACCAATTATCGACATCAAAACGCAGTCCATGAAGCACACTATCTTTGGTTTTATAAAATGAATCGTACTTGGATGATCCAGAGCCAGCGGTCCCCGCAATGCACTCCTCTTCGATTTTAAGTTACCCCCCGCCTCCAGCTGGATTTAACTATCTCGCAGTCATTCGCCCGTCTCTTAAACTGATGCTTCTATGCTCAGCCTGGTCTTCAGCCTTGGTTCCGCTTCTCTTTGCCTTATTTCTGTTCTCCTCCAGGTCGCTGAGGAGAACGCCAATTTTCATGTTAAATGTTGTATCCATTATCATGGGGCTAGCCTTGGGTGTTCTGGCTTATTATAACGGGGTGAGTGTGATTGCCTTCCATATACTGCTAAGCGGCGTAACTTACGAATGTCATAGGTTACGGCAATCCTGTCTCCGGATATAATAATCCCAGGGCACCTGTCATCACACAAGCAGTTTTTATCAATGCTCTGCCCCTCTTCACGGAGTCGATCTTGGTACTCAGAGTGATGACTGTGTACCCCCTCAAATCAACACCTCGTTTGACTCTCGCGATCGTTTACATCCCATTGTGTTGCTTGAAAGTCGCTCGACTAGCCAACATTTTGGTTTTCTGGGGAATATGGTTTCCGGACATCCTAGCCGGGGGTAACCCTATTGTTGTTGCACAACAGTCGTGGGACTTCCCCTGTGACAAGATTGAATGGTCTCTGCAAATGTTCGACAACGCGTAGGTAGCTATATGATCTGTATTGGCAAGATTTGACATTGGGCGTCAGATATGCTTCGGCACTCTTTCTTTACTGCCTTAGAAGCAGTCGTCGTGTAAATGGTCGGATCGAATGCGCCAGAAGTAAACGTCCCACCAGTAAGTCGTGTAGAAGTGTGTTAAAAGTCGATTATTGAGAATTTTTAAGGGAAATACTCCGAACGCCTCAGTACCTTGTTCTGGATCTCCGTCTCTAACTTCGTCTTCCCGGTCATGCTTTCATTTGTCCAGTCCATTCTTGCTTTCGACGCTTATCTTTTTTTGGACGCCACATACATCATCATGTCCAACATATATTTCGAAATTATTGCTGTGTTGCTTGCCACTATATGGTCTGCAGGTAGCAGACGGTCGGAGGAGCAACAGGCAACCACGGAGATGAGTGTGTCGGGTGCAGAGTCTCTTCCCCGTTTTGCGACAGGTACTATATCCATGACCACAGCACCCCAAGTTCCTATTCAAGATCCCGATGATATCACAATAACTGTGGGGTCTCAATCTCTTATACATACTGAAAGTGCGAGTCTGGACAAAGATATAGAGTCGAGGAGATGAGCCAGGTGTTTGATGCAACTTGAATGAATGGAGTGTCTGTTTTTCGCTTTCCATGGTTACGTTAAACGTACTAATGATCCTACATGTTAGCGTATAGTGAAATTATCTACCATCTATGGTACCTTTTGTATTGTTCTTCCGTGCGATACAACAACTTATTGCTACTTTATAGCTTGATGTATAGTAGCGTACTGGTTACGAATCCTGATTTTTGACCTGGCGCCTTCAGACACTGGTTAGTACTTGTTATAAGTCGGATGAACAACTCTTGTGTGTCACGGAAGCTTTGAAAACGTACTAGAGAACAGGGGAGTCTTCAATTTTCAAATGTCGAGAGGATTCAAGGTCGGTGGTTCGCTATTTTCCGAGGTTGCACGTGGTGGAGCTACAAGTTCTTCCCTTCAAACTTCATGATCCTCATTGAAACATGCCGTATTCTGCATGGTAGGAATAATGTACGCGGAGTTGGCAAGGAGGACAAAACTCTATGCATTCGCTGGACCCGTGTAGGAGATTCGTGCCGGCACGTTGTGCCGGTACTCTCGTTCTCTTTATCCCTATCTTATCTTTACCATTACCTACTTACTATTCTACTCTTTTACTTTACTGCGGTGATCCCGCATCTCTATTACTTATCCCGCCTTTCCTTTTACTTTAGCCATGTTCTCTTTATAGATTAGACCCTATCCTACTCGTATATAAGACCTAAAATACTCCTACGTACTCCTTAGAACTACTCGAATAGAGGTCCTTTTCACCTGGTCTTTCCTCCGTTCGACTACTCTCTGCTTCGTCTAACTCTCGTGTGCCGTTACTGCCGACTTCCTGTCACAGTACCGTCACATATTTTTGACCTACAAGAACCTCGAATTCAACAAACCTCGACTTCGAAAAACAAAAAAAAAGCCTTACCGGCAAGGCCTCGTCGATTGGAACCCTCTGGCTTGATCACCCGGATCTCCGCACGACTTCGCCTCGCCACTCCAAAATTCCGAACCTCTTGCTTCTTCTACCTCTCTAAACTCGCTTCAATTTTTTCTTCTCGCTTGTGCATCTATGGCACCGTTTACCCGTTCGAAAGGGGTTGCTCCGTTTGCTCAGGGGCTCCCGCTTCAGGGCAATAAAAAGGCACCTGCCGTTTCCGCTGAGTTGCCGTCTATTCAATCTAAAAATAATGCTGACCTTTTGGGGGACATGGAAAGCCCCCTTACTAGCATTGCGAGCCTCGTGCCTGACACCAGCGCGAGAAGCTCGGGCCCTGTCTCCATAGACGAGAAGGGATTATCCTCTTGGCCTGTGAAGGAGGAGTCTGTCGCATCCGAGGACTTCAACCTTCCTAGCCAGTATGGCGGTCGTGTTACTGCGAATGAGCCGAATTCCACGGGTTTTCAAACCGCGTTGGACGTAGATCTTCTGGATCTCGATGACAATTCTGTCGTTCTCCACCCTAGCGAAGTTATGGGATGGGAGACTGTGGGGAAGAAGAAGGGTAGACGTACCCCTTCCCCGGACCCCGGTTCGAAAACCTCCGGGTTTACTGCTAGCACGAAAAATAGATATGAAATTTTATCTGATTCAGATGTTGATGAAAATAAGGTCACTATTGAGAATACCGTTAAATTTGTACATGACGTACGCCAGAAGCATTTTGAAAAGCAATTTCTCAATATTCCGAGTCAAGTCCGAAGGGAACAAGAGGCTGCGGCAGAGGCAGCTCAACTCGAACCTCAGGCTGGAGCTATGCAAGCTGAAAATGTGTCGAACTCAGAGTCAGATACCGAACATGAGGCAGGAAATGAAATACCTGCTGAAAAGCCTTTTATCAACAAAGGAAAGGTTCGTGATTTTCGCGACACTGGAATTCCAGGGATTGACAATGAGGAATTGGATCCTGAGAATCAGCGCCATGCTTGGGAGAACTTCGATTTCTTGAAGGACGAGGATCCCGAAGTGCAAAAGGCGATCTATGAAGATGTCATGAGATCGTGGAAGGCACGCAAGTGTTCTTCTGCCAAACCTGACAGCCAGATTGGTGGTTCTTCCAATGTGGAACCTGAAGTATTCCATACCTCCACCCCTGTAATGAAGGGTGAGGTTTCGGGCGATGGAGAGGCCGTGAACTTTACCCCACCGATTACCAGCACCCCGATCTCGAAGCCTGTAAAGAAGGTTAGGATCGTGGAGGATGTCAAGACCGAAGAGATGTTCGATGCAACTTTGGGCAACCAAAAAGTGCATTCCAAGTCATCGAGCCCTTCAATCCTGAAGGCTAGTAGTCTTGGTGGTTTGCGGGGATGGTCCCCATGTTGGAATGTCAAGTGTCGCGCATCATGGTGCAGTCGACGTCGGGATCTTCAGTAGGAAGCACCGTTCATCTGTTCTCCTCCTCGGCTTTCCTTATTACATCATATTGCTTCTATTAGTGTACACGGCATGTAGATAAATAGGTAGACGAACGACGATGACCCTCGCCTGTTTGCGAGGGTTCCCTGCTATATTCGGGTGAGCGGCTGGAGAATTACCGCTTATCTCAACACAAACAGGCAGCATAACCCACAGTCCTTGTCACTCTCGTTCTCTGTGCTGACTCTCGAGACTATCGCTACACCGCCACCCTGACACTGGTGTCGAGATCACCTTTGTCACTTGCTAGACCACGAGACGGTCTGGTCGTTCGCTTTGCTGGTCCACGAGACGGTCCGGCTGTTCGCTTTTCTGGTCCACGAGACGGTCCAGTTGTTCGTTTTTTGCTCTCCACATTCGTTGTTTGCCGCGTCGAGATCACCTATAGAGCAAAATGTTGGACGAGTTGTTTGGTGCGCGTTTTCCCAAGTTATCGGTCAGAAACTTTGCGGAATGGCGAGTGATGATGGAGGCCGAGCTCACGCGTCGGAAGCTCTGGACCGACATTGTCGAGATTGAGGTTGATGGAGATGGGAAGTCGGAGTCAGAGATCTTGGTGGAGATCACGACGAAGTTGAAGGCACGGGATAAGCAGAAGATGGCGGAGGCTAGGGCCGAGATGATTTTGAGGGTGGATGTCGGGCAGCTGGCGCACATGGACTCGAAGGACCCACGGGAGATTTGGGGGAACTTGCAGACTGTGCATCGTGCACAGGGCTTTGCAACGAGCTTGTCTTTGCGAAGGAAGTTCTTGACGGCGAAGATGCTTGAGGGCCAGGGCATGGAGGCTTGGGTTGGAAAGATCAGGCGAATGGTGAAGGCGATGGAACTAGCCGGTATCGACGTCAGCGACCAAGATCTAATCCTCGCACTCACCATGGGACTCCCCCCTTCCTACGAAAATGTCATTATCAACTTTGATGCGACCCCTCCTGACCAGCTCACACTCTCGAACGTGATTATTCGCTTGCTGAACAAAGAAACGTGCCAAGCGTCGCTTGCTCCTGAACGTTCGGAGAAGGATAAGGATGGGATAGGTGATGATGATGAAGTTGCGGCAGTCGCCTTTCGCGGTGGCAAGGCATCCAGGGGCCTGAAGGGAAACAGTCAAGTCGAGCTCACTTGCTTTTTCTGCGATAAGGCCGGGCATTTGAAGGCGGATTGTGAGGAGAGGGCGAAGTGGCGGAAGTCGAAGAAAGGGAAGACTGTGGCAGCGGACTTCGCCGGGTTGGCTTATGAGAGTGACTCCGATGTCACTTTCTAGGTTACTCTTTCCCACCACGGTGTTCACCTTCCAGGGGTGTACATTGTATGTTTTCTCCTCTCATTTTTCTCTTCTTTTCTTGGTATTGATGCACGAACTTGCGGGGGTGTGTTGGAATGTCAAGTGTCGCACATCATGGTGCAGTCGACGTCGGGATCTTCAGTAGGAAGCACCGTTCATCTGTTCTCCTCCTCGGCTTTCCTTATTACATCATATTGCTTCTATTAGTGTACACAGCATGTAGATAAATAGGTAGACGAACGACGATGACCCTCGCCTGTTTGCGAGGGTTCCCTGCTATATCCGGGTGAGCGGCTGGAGAATTACCGCTTATCTCAACACCCCACTATCAGGTTCTAACAATGTGATAGGTAACCCCCACATTGATATGCGGCATATGATTGGTGTTGCACAGAATGCCATGCGAGGCAGCAAGCATCAGGAAACACCCAACGTTCGGTGTGGACCAGCCTTCGCAGCAGATCAAGTTGCTCCGAATAGTTACCTGGGGAGAGCTTTGAAAAAGTCTGTTGGCAGTGCAGAACCGGTTAACACACCTGCCGATGAGCCTGATGATTCTTCTTCTTCTTCATCCTCTTCTTCGGATGATGAGTCTAGCTCTGGGAATGAGCGCCGTAAGAAGAAGCATCACAAGAAGAAGAAATCATCACGCCGTTCCCGTTCTCATTCTCGTGACCGATGGGAGAAGCCAATCCTGCCATGTACGTACAATGGTAGTGATGACCCGAAGTTAGTTGCATGTTTTATTCAGGAATGTGATCAGTATCTGAAGATGGGAAACGTTAAAGACGAGGACAAGGTTTTTCGGATTTCTCGTTACCTTGAGGGCAAGGCCCGTGATTTCTATGACCAAAGCGTTAGTATGAATTACAACGAATGGGATTTAACTACCTTCTTCTGGGAGATGTTTAATTACTGCTTCCCTCGGGATTTCCGGGCTAAGGTTCGTCGAAGAATCAGGCAGTGCTTCCAGGGTGATCGTGATGTACGTGCGTATGCTCATGAGCTGAAGGGACACTACCATATGCTCGGAGATGAGTCAGAACGTACTCAAGTGCTCCGCTTGTGGTATGGGTTACGGTGCGATCTCCGGGAGGAGCTGAGTCATTGTTTCTACGATGAGGAAATCAATACGTGGCACGAGATTGTTGATATGGCTGAAATCCTTGACATCACTCAGCGTAGAGATGAAGGGAAGTCTCGTGGGGACTATGAACATAACCGCCGTGCCAAGAACCGTCGCACCAATGAGACGACGGAGCGGAATAAATGGAACGACATACCTCGCTCGAAGCAGGATCATACTCCCAAACCTGCACGTCAAAGCTTCAATGACGAACTACGTGAATTGTCAGGCATTCCACGTAAAGGGCCTGTTCGTAATTGGGAAAAGCCTGTTGTGGATAAAAAGTCCCCCTGGCATGAGCACAAGTTGGATAAGAAGCAACGTGATGAATACCTGGCTGAAGGGAGGTGTTTCCGTTGTGGAAAGGTCGGACACACCTCACGACAGTGCCCTGAGGGTAATGCTGTAGCCTCTGGCTCGCGTTCTGGTCCTCCTGGTCGAAGGAAGCCTCCCATGATGTCCTCCTCGAATATCCAGTTCAAGTTGAAGGAAGCGGATCGCTTGTCTAAGGCCGCGGATAGATCCACTAGCTTCGAACTCAACAGTATTGGTTTGGAGCTTAATGACGACGGTGTGGACGACATATCTAGTCATTCGTGGACTCCTACGGATGCTGAGTTGTGGCTTGACCAGCCCATGGGCGACATGCTAGATGAGTGGTGGACTTGGCGTATGAATGCCGAGACCAACTGGCCAGATACACTTGCATTAGGTGGTCACGGAGGCATGGAGGGCGGGAATCCACGGTTCAGCATGTACCGTACAAAAGGTGTAAATTTTGTCTTGTTCGACTCCCTACGAGACGAGCAGGACGAAGTACTGGTACCTGGGAATGTGGTTCAGTACGGTGACATGGTTTCTTGGTACAGGTCATACCTCATTCAGACGTACTGTATCCCATCGGTTGAACTACCTCCTCCCTTGGGGAAGGATCTAATGGCCATGTTCATTGAGGAATACCTGGACAATGGGTTTAACGATGAGTTCGATGGTCTAGCAAAAAGATTTACAGTTTCGTACAAATCCCCGAACGTTTTCCACGTAAAGGATCGTGTTCTTGGGCACGAGTTTCGTCTGCCTCGTGTGATGGCCTTACACCCGAAGTTCCGGCTGTACAACTGGTGGTTGGCACGAGTTCAACGCTGGGAGAAGACACAACTACGTACCTGCTGTTGGTCTGGTTGAAAAGTTGGTCTCGCTGGCCTGGAGGGCGAGAACGTAGGAGATTCCGTAACATGTAAAACCCGCAGGAGACTAGCCGGCTTATACCTTGGACATGTAGGCTATAAGTGAGATAAGCTTACCGCTATCCAACGTAATGCAGGCGTCCCTCGCGACTTTACTCGACTAGTCCCAAAGCCAATGATAGTAGACGTTTTTATTGAAGGTCATAAAGCTCGAGCATTGCTTGACTCAGGATCGTTGTCTGATTTCATGTCGACGACGTTGGCAGACCAATTAAACTTGAAGAAAATTGAACTTGAGAAGCCCATCTCACTGCACCTTGCAGTGCAAGGTTCACGTTCGAAGATTAATTATGGTACAAAGCCTAGATTTCAATATCAAGGTATTGATGAACAAAGATATTTCGATATTGTGAATCTTGGAAGTTACGATGTAATACTTGGGGCGCCGTTCCTATTTCAGCATAAGGTAACTATGGGGATGAATGAGAACATAATCCATATCGGAAGTGAGGGGAGCCTACCTATCGAAGGCTCCAATGTTAGTGAGCTAGCATCTCGTTCAATCGAACTGGCAGAAGAGGCTATCTCTGACGTCCGGAACATTATCCGGGAATCTGCTCGGGCCCGAGGATTGTTTGACGACGCAGCAAAAGCTCCGTTACCCCCATTCAGACCTATTAATCATGAAATCCCTCTGATTGATGAAAATAAAACCTACCACTGGCGGCCATCCAAATGCCCTGAACCCTTGCTCGGACAATGGATTGAGAAGAAGAGAGATTATCTGGCTACAGGTCATTGGAAGGTGACCACAGCTCGTAATACGGTCCCTATGTTATGTATCTTTAAGCCCAATAAGCCCAAGAATATGCCGGAATTACGCACTGTTTTTGATTTGCGTGAGCGAAATGCTAACACGCGTAAAATGGTAGCGCCGCTAGCCTCTATTGATGGGATCCTCCGACGAGTGGCAGGCAGGCGTTATCGGTCCTTGTTTGATTTACAAGCAGCGTATGAACAGATTCGCATAATCACGGAGCACCTTGACCGTACAGCCGTGACTACACCTGATGGAAATATGATAAGTCTTGTAATGCAGCAAGGCGATTGCAATGCACCAGCCACCTGTCAAGCCTTGATGAATCACCTATTTTCACCGTATATCGGTGTCTTCATGGACGTTTACTTGGATGATATTATTGTATATTCAGATACTATTGAAGAGCACGCAAGACACTGTGAGCTTATATTCGACATCCTCAAAGAGCAACGACTTTACCTTAGTGAGAAGAAGTGCCAAATCCTGGCACGAGAATTGCATATCTTGGGGCATATCGTAAACGACAAAGGAATCAAGATGGATCCTTCGAAAGTCGACACTGTACTAAATTGGAAGGTGCCGACGAACCGCGAGCTGCTGAGTGGATTTCTTGGGTCAGTAGGATATCTCGCTGACAACGTAGACCGTGTCCGGGTACCCATGGGAGTACTGCACACCTTGACTGGAGCCATGGTACCTTGGAATTGGACTGAGACACATCAGCGAGCCTTCGAACAAGTAAAGGATTATGTACATCGATGGCGAGAGAACCACCGGGTTCCCCTCAATTACTCCAAGGATGCACCGACGATAAACGTCGTAACTGATGCTAGTAGTACCGGGATTGCTGGCGTAGTTAGCCAGGGCAATGACTGGAAGAATGCGAAGGTAGCAGCATTTTTCTCTGCAAAGCTGAACTCCGTGCAACAAAACTACCCCATACATGAACAAGAGATGTTCGCGGGGGTAGAGACAATGCGCCGACACCGTGATATACTGCTAGGGTGTCACTTCAGGTGGTACACTGATCACAAAGGACTAATTCACCTGTTAAACCAGCGAAACCTGTCAGGACGGCAGGCTCGTTGGATGGAACTACTGTCTGATTTCAGTTTTGAGGTGATATACGTTCCTGGAACTGAGAACGTACTCACAGATGCCCTGTCTCATTTGTACTCAAACGAATCTCTTGGTACCGTACGTGCACCCTCCGAGTTCCCCCAACACGATGAGGACCATCCTCCCTCGGATCCCACTCATCTTGAAGTAACCACACCCGTGTTGACTGGTCTTGAAGCAAACGCAATCATGTTGACACGTATGGGCTCTGGTGCTAAGCCTAAGTGGAATTTGAAACCCAAAATTCACGTGAACGAGTCGTCCTCAGCGTTCACAAAACGGATGGTGGATAAGAGATTTGTATTACATGGCCCCAGGCCGTCTGAGGATCCTGAGAGCTCGGATACCACGCTCGGTAGTAGCAGTGATGAGGTGGAATCGTCAATGCACAACGAAGTTGGCGTTGTAACGGAGGGCGCGCCTGCCATGGGACCATCGACGTCAGACAATGACGAGGTGGTCGCACAGCCACACGTGCAACGTGGCCCGATTGGAGACCCGGCTATACCGGATTCAGAGTTACCGGCGGCTGGGGCTGTGCCGGGCCCTGACACGACCTTAGCGAGTTCCTCGCTGTCGTCCCTCACTGGCCTTGTTTCCTCACGATTACTAGGAATCGACTTGCTCCCCGTTATACATGCCAACGCCCGTAGTGATACTACCCTATCCAAAATATTGGCCTCTCCATCCCACTTCAAGAACTTTTCAGTGGAGAATGGACTAGTTTACCTATGCGAGGGAGGTCGCAAGCTCCTCTGCATCCCAGAGAGCGTTCGCGTACATGAACGTGATTTACGAGAGATCGTGATCAGTGAGGCTCACTCTCTGGTGGCCCACCTCGGATCTTCAAAGACGTTGGCCTACCTCAGAGACCATGTCTGGTGGAAGAGTATCGCGAGGGATACTCAGGCCTATTGTGAGTCCTGTTCAATGTGTAAACGGAGTAAACCTACTAATCAGAAGCCGTATGGCTTGCTGAACCCACTGAAGGTGCCGACCTTCCCTTGGGAGTCAATGGGTTTCGACTTTGTAGGTTGTTACGATTATTCTTTTCTTTTTCTTTTTCTTTTCTTTTCTTTTCTTTTCTTCAGTCAGCCAGATTACGCAACACGCGATCATCACGGACTGACTGCGCAGTAGTATTTTTAGAATACTCACGTGTATTTAAGTAGAGCCTCAGCTGGTCTGAACCCCAGCTTCGGCTAAGGTTAATTCTACCTAACATCGAACTCCGTCCTTCGTGACTATCTGTCCCATCGACTTACGTTGCCTTTGACTTGCTAAAGTATCTCCTACCGAAGTGCGAGTAGGGATCCTAGCACGATCTAAGTCGATTTGAGTTAGTGGCTAACATTTAGCCGAAGCTCGTCTTCAGTTGCCCAACGACGCACCGTTGCCCAACATTTTATATCTCATTGTTATCTTTATCCTCGAGAATTGGATATTCCAATTTCTCCTCGACGACCCTCTTGAATTGGTTATAGCAACCATCCTTCGAACCATCCTTATCTGCGTATACATCCCATTCCCGATATTCGCAGGACTACTCCTGCTCATCTGGACTGGATTCCTACGCCTCTTTTAAAAACACGCAACCCTTTGTCCTCGCCCTCCAGCTCGCTTCAATACTAACAATCCTATTGTTGGTATTGACGAGTACCTCCGAACCTGAAACGTGCGACATCTTGTTAATGAACGGCTCCAACTACGAGACCGACCTTAGCTTGATCATCGCTCTTCTTGTCGTCCTTACCATCCTCGCGGTCTACCAGCTTGCATGGTCAATCGTCGACCTACGCAGAGGATAGATTCACTTACGGATGCCCTGGTCCGACGCCATTCCCGCAATCTTCGTAACTTTTATCGCCTTTTTCTTGTCCATTTCTTTATACTACACACTCCGCTGTTGTCGACAACAGAGAAGGGTTCGACCACAACTCCCCTTCCATTACGTCCCCAGCGTGCCCGCATACCCTCCACAGGTGATCGACATCCCCGCGGCCTCTCAACAGACCCTGCCCCCTCAGCCAGAACTACCCTCTCTATATGGAGAGTCCCTCTACGGATCGTCGCGACCCAGCTCGCGATCCTCAGAGTCGAGCACCGACTCCTACAGAAGCGCTACCGACGAGTCAACCGACTCCGTCGACATCACTGACACCCGGGGCGTACTCCTCGACAGAGGAGACTCGCCCCTACCAGGCCTCTTCGACCAGTCTCCAGTCGAGGGCGAGCCAAGCCCCGACAGAAGCCGAGGACAAGGCACCAGGCATCTGGTCGCGGGCGAAGAAAGCCCTGACACCGAGTTCGAAGGGGACGAGCTCTCCGAGTGGGAGAGAACCCGCCTCGACGACCTCCTCGGCGACCTCTACCCGAACGAGGAGGAAGATGAAACCTATACCGGAGACAATTGGAGTGGAAGATCCTCCCACAAGTGGAAGGACGCCAACTGGGGAGACCCAGACCTCGGAGCAGAGCAAAGAAGGTTTATACAGAGGCAAGAGGATGACTACGACAGCGATTCCGGAGAGCTTGGCCTCGGAGCCTCCGCGGCTACCACCCATTCAAATGAGCCACACCTTGTTTCAGGGTCCTGGCCAACCGATCAAGGGGAGCCAGTCAGCTGGCATCCAAGGACAGGCTGGGCCTACGCCGACAGGAGGGAAGAAACTCCTGTGGCCTGAATCCTGACCAGAAGAGAGTCCGACTCGATCACTCCGGGGCCCGAGACCCCCACGATCGTCCCCGCCGACACCTCGCACGAGCCGATGAGTGGGGAGCTTTGGAGCGAGTTCCCAGATCTTGACGCCGAGGAACTTGGAGACGTTACTGTTTCCGAGCGACTCGCCGGAGTCTCCGACTGGGAACCGTCCGTTGCGAGAAGAGCGTTCGCCGATCCTGTCCCCGAAACCCAGCGTCCTTGGACGCTCCTCTATCACACGCTCGTCGAGCAGCTCCAGCTCCCTCGAGATGCCCGGGAGTCCCCAGAAGCTGAGGCCAGAGTGGAGCGAGCAAGAGCGGCGGAGCGTCGCACCAAGCGAGCTGAAATGGCAGCCCTC